ACGGAGATAAAACACCTCAATTACTGGGAGCACTTGAGGTTCCTAAACCTGTATTCCCTGGAATGCAGGCAGGAGAGATACATGATTATATACACCTGGAAAATCCTAGAGGGACTAGTACCGAACTTGCACACGAAAATCACTCACTACGAAAGCAAAAGACTTGGCAGATGATGCAACATCCCCCCAATGAAAAGCAGGGGTGTCACTAGCACGTTAAGAGACCATACAATAAGTGTCAGGGGCCCGAGACTGTTCAACTGCCTCCCAGCATACATAAGGGGGATTACCAACAGACCCCTGGCAGTCTTCAAGCTGGCACTGGACAAGCACCTAAAGTCGGTTCCTGACGAGCCGGGCTGTGGCTCGTACGTTGGTTTGCTTGCAGCCAGCAGCAACAGCCTGGTTGATCAGGCTCTGATCCACCAGGAGGCCTGGTCACAGACCGGGCCGCAGGGGCGTTGACCCCCTGAACTCTCTCCAGGTAAACTCCAGGTAATAGACCCATTCTTTCATACGTAGGCCTGCCAGCTTTCTCTCACTAGATTTGAGGGCGTTAGAATTTAGGTGTACTAGTACGTCAAAAACCCTGGGGCATAAGCCATACTAGTACGGCCAAAATCCCCAAAGGGTTAAGTGCATTTTGAGAAGACTTAAATTGATTTTCAGACCGGGTTACTTAATATCTGGCTGAATTTGGATCTCTCTCTCTCTCTCTCTGTATCTCTCTCTCTCTGTATCTCTCTCTCTCTGTATCTCTCTCTCTCTGTATCTCTCTCTCTCTGTCTCTCTCTCTCTCTCAGGTACACATAAGTAAAGTTATCATACATAATGTAAATTACCTAGGATAACCCCAGAAATCCAGACAAAGTCCTATACAGTGGATCTGTGCTCCAGTGCCCTAAATTAATAATAATAATATATATTATTACGTATTATTATTACAATACTTTTTTTTTCTCAACAAGTTGGCTGTCTCCCACTGAGGCAGGGTGACCCAAAAAAGAAAGAAAATCCCCAAAAAGAAAATAATTTCATCATCATTCAACACTTTCACTACACTCACACATTATCACTGTTTTTGCAGAGGTGCTCAGAATACAACAGTTTAGAAGCATATACGTATAAAGATACACAACATATCCCTCCAAACTGCCAATATCCCAAACCCCTCCTTTAAAAAGCAGGCATTGTACTTCCCATTCAATACGTATGTACTAATATTAATAATAATATTATTATTGAACTTTAATATAATATAGTGCTTACTCATTACTTACCTTAAAATATCTATAGTCTTAATGTAGAGTGAGAGGTGAGTAAATAAGATTAAATGAATAAATGAGAGAGAGAATGAGTGTAGAAGGTTCGTGAGTTTTGTAAAGAAACTAGTTGTTGTTGTTGTTGTTACCAGCCCAGACACGAATGGCTTTTGTTCACTCTGTCAAGCCAACTGGAAAAACATCTCATATTTATGTTAATTTATATGTTACATAGCATGTTTATTATATAATTTTGAAAAAAGTCATAGATGGATTAAGGAAAATGTCTATATTAACATTTTATATACATTTAATGCGCTTCAGTGATTATTATTGTGTTATTATCATTATTAATATGGCATCTTCAAAACCAATAACACAGTCTTAATGATTTTAATGTGTACCTACACACCAGCACAGGTGCAAGATGTGGAGTTTAAAGTAGTTAAGTTCATATTTTATTCATTCTAGAGTTTATATCGGGTTTTTATGCTATTTATATTGTGTATTATGTCATATTAAATGAATTGTGATAGATAAATAAGCAGTATAGCGATATTAGCATCATATTGAAGATGTGACAACACTGCTTCGTGTGTAATACCTGTTGGTTCATGAGCGGCTCTGAGACAGACACACAAGCAGACAGAAAGACAGACACACAGGTAGACAAAGACACACACACACAGGAAGACAAAAGACAGATACAGATACAGACAGATATACAGGCAGACAGATACAGACAGATTTGTGTGCAACAGTGAAAACAAATAGAGTTCGAGAGTAAGAGCCTTTCTTGCCACAATCTCCAGTGCAAAAGTCAGACTTCCTCTTAGGGACCGTGGTGAAATTTACTGTCCACTTAGTACAGTTAATACTGTACATACCCTACGCTATCAGCAGCATGATAACTCAAACTGATGATGCCTGCATGGCGCATTGCCGCCGTGAGTATCGTCAATATTGTAGTGACATGTATCAGCTGGTCCAGCCCAGCTGCCAGATGTACGGTCGTAAGTCGAGTGGACATATGTCGAGTAGGTTGTAAGTCGGATGGTAGGTGTATATTCCAGAAGCTTGGGAAATGCCCCTGTAGCCCATGGCTGACACTCAAAAAATTTTCCCCACCCACGAACTGAACAAACTAAACAGTGTTAAGTTAATTTTATGAAGTGTTATATAAAATTATGCCGCAACTTTTCAATAGTGTAACAGCCAAAACGTGGAAAATAAACCCGTGTAATATAACAGTCAACGGCATTTTACTTTATTGTTGCTTTTTAATGCCTAGTTCTATTGCTAACTTAATATATGTTAGTGTAAGCTTGTTATCTAGCATATAAATGTTGGATAACAAGGCATTCCACTTTACGGTGATTTCCACATTAAGGCAGTAACCGGGAACCTAACTTGCCGTATAAGTGGAGCCCTACTGTACATGTTTACGTGAATATGTAGTATGAATTAAGTACAAGTGAGTAGGAATTATGGTACAGGAATTATAAAGACTCTGATGGGTGAAATGTCTCCTTAACCCTTTCAGGGTCAGCAGGCCCTCTCCTAAACTTGTTCTCAGGGTCGGAAATTTTTCGAAAAAAAAAAAAAAAAATCTTATAAAAATGATAGAGAAACTTTTCCTGATCATAATGACACCAAAAGTTTGAAATTTGATGGAAAACTCGGGGAATTATGCTCATGTGAAGTTAGCAGTTTCAACGATGTTTATGCATCGACGATTTCACCCACTTTGAGCCCTATTTTCAGCCAATTCCAATGTACCAGTCGACAAAAATCATAACTATTTTGCTAGAAGTCCATTTTTTCTACTGAATGAGTACGAGAAACCACCCATTTACTGATTCCAACTATCCAATAAAATGATCAGAAATTGGCAATTTTGCCAATTTCACACAAATTTCAAAAGATGCCAATTTCCAAATAGGGTCCAGAATAAACAAGATAGACACTCCTGGCACTAAAATAACATGTTTTCCTGTTCATCAGTTACGTCCACAGGCCTCTCTTACATTTCTTTTGCTTTCCACTTTGAATTTTTATTCTCACAAACAAATAGAAGATTTACTGTTATGCAGACTACTGCATTAGTGTAGAAATGGTATAAGTAATATCAGTGCAATTGTGAAAGAATATCAGACTCACCAGTTGACGTGTAATGGATGTGTGGCATGATTTGTTTACTTTTGAACTCTGGCAAAAATCGAACATTTCTGCTACTTGGAGCTCAGTTTCAAAGTACTTTTCATTGTGAAACAAATCAAAATCTCAATTTCTGTAATATGACTTCCATTCTACAAAATGAGACCAGAAAGACTAGAATACAACCATAAATAGCATAAGAAAATACACTGCAAAGTCGCTGTCTTAACCCTTTCGGGGTTTCGGCCATACTAGTATGGCTTACGCGCCAGGGTTTTTGACGTACTAGCATGCACAAACTCTAGCGCCCTCAAATCTAGCAAGAGAAAGCTGGTAGGCCCACATATGAAAGAATGGGTCTGTGGTCAGTGTGCGCAGTATAATAGAAATCCTGTAGCACACAGTGCGTAATGAGAAAAAAAAAACTTTGACCGTTCTTTTGGCTTAAAACAGTGACTTTGCACTGTAATTTTGTATGGTATTCATGGTTGTATTCTAGTTTTCCTGGTCTTATTTTATAGAATGGAAAACATATTACAGGAATTGAGATCATTTTGATTGGTTTCACAATGAAAAGTGCCTTCAAATTGAGCTCAAAGTAGCAGAAATGTTTGATTTTTGCCAAAGTTCAAAAGTAAACAAATCATGCCACGCGTCTAAAACACGTCAACTGGTGAATCTAATATTCTTTCACAAGTGCACTGGTATTATTTATACCATTTCTACACTAATACAGTAGTCTGGATAACAGTAAATCTTCTATTTTTTGTGAGAATAAAAATTCAAAGTGGAAAGCAAAAGAAATGTAAGAGGGGTGTGGGGATGTGACTAATGAACAGAGGAAATGTTATTTTAGTGCCAGGAATGTCCTTCTTGTTTATTCTGGACCCTATTTGGAAATTGGCATCTTTAGAAATTTGTGTGAAATTGGCAAAATTGCTAAATTCTGACCACTTTATTGGATAGCTGAAATCGGTATATGGGTGGTTTCTCATACTCATTCGATAGAAAAAATGGAGTTCTAGCGAAATAGTTATGATTTTTGTCGACTATTACACTGGAATTAGCCGAAAATAGGGCTCAAAGTGGGCAAAATCGCCGATGTGTAAACATCGTCGAGACCGCTAACTTCGTGAGATGATAATTCTGTGAGTTTTCCATCAAATTTCATACTTTTGGTGTCATTATGATTGGGAAAAGATTCTCTATCTTTGCATAAGAAAACTTTTTTTTTTTTTAAATTTGGCGACCCTGAGAACAAGTCTCTGAGAGGGCCTGGCAACGACCCTCAAAGGGTTAAAGCAGAAACATGGTTGGAGTTTTTTTTCTCATTAAGCACTGTGTGCTGCAGGATTTTTTTTTATACTGCACACACTGACCACATAGGCCCACATATGAAATAATGGGTCTATCAGCTCTCTCACTAGATCTGAAGGCGCTAGAATTTATGCATACTAGTATGGCACCAACCCTGGTGTGCAAGCCGTACTAGAACCGCATCAACCCTGAAAGGGTTAATAAATGACCTAGTTGCCTGGCAACAATGAACCAAGTGTATATGATAACATAAAGAATTCCAACCTTAGCTTCACTGGTAGTATGGGCAGCCCATGCAGCAGTAAGCTCTCTCCACAGGTCTTCTGTTACTGCATTCTTATAGGCAAATTTCTTGAGGAATGAATTAATGCCTCTTTGAAAGGCAGTCTCTCCCATGAAATTCTCCAGCATCCTCAGTACTGCAGATCCCTGAGTTAGGCAATATCACAACTATTATCTCCACTATTAAAAATTATGTTAAAACCTAACAGTCATAACTGATAGAATTCTACTTAAGCAATAATAATAATGACTCCTGAGTAGAACAATCCATTGTGAAACATTGATACATGTAGACCTGTAAGTATTAGGTTATTCTTGCTTAACAACTGACCATTGTATAGCATTTCAGTATAAAGAATACCATAGCTGCATCATTAACATATTTGCTATATGATACCCATGGATTTTGTTTGTTATATTCTTCTGTCATTTACAGACTCACAGGTCCACATATATACTAGTTTAGCCCACACTAGCATCTTAGACCTATTAAAATATGAGGGGGCCATAACCACCACTATGAAATCATCAGGTTCACTATGTATTACCAGGTTTGCAAAATAATATAATCTTTCATTAATAAGGTCTAGGAGAGCCATTTTAAAACACATTATTAATCTGGAAAAAAGGTTGAAGATTAAGAGGAGATGGTGCAGAATTACTAAAAGTTATTATCCAGAGAGCTGAGAGTGGGTTGTTCAGGTGATCTGGTCATTTAGAGAGGATGGAGCAAAATAGGATGACTTGGAGGGTGTATAAATCTGCAGGGAAGGGAAGGCAGAGTTGGGGTCATCCTAGGACAGGTTGGAGGGAGGGGGTGTAAAAGGTTTTGTTTGCAAGGGGCTTGGACATAAAGCAAGAATGTGTGAACGTGTTAGATAGGAGTGGAGACAAATAGTTTTTCCGAGTTGACAAACTGTTGGAGTGAAGTGATTCAGGGAATCTGGTTAGCTGGACTTGAGTCCTGGAGGTGGGAAGTAAAATGCCTACAGTCTAAAGAAGAGGTTTGGGATATCTGTTTAGATGAACATCTAAACTGTCATAACTGCATGCCTACAGCAAGACAGTGATAGTGTTTTGTGGACAAAACAAGTCCACAATTTATTGAACCAACCTTACGAAACCCAGTATAGGGGCTAATATATACACACTCACATGGTCAACATCTTGGGTACTTCTAGTTTCAACAAATGTGGGTATTCAGCAGAATGGCTCTGTAAGCCTATCCAGGCTGGGCCAAGGAACAGAAAAAATTCTATGTAACAAGATACCCACACTTTTTTGTATGGGTGTGAAGCATGGGCTTTAAATGTTGCAGCAAACAGGAGACTGGATGCAGTGGAGATGTGTTTGATAGCTGTTTGTGTTGTGAATATTATGCAGAGAATTCACATCATGAAAGGAATATCGAATAATTCAGAGACTGAGGAGGGGTTGTTGAGGTGCTTAGGACATTCAGGGAGGTTGAAGCAAAACAGAATAACCAAAAGGGTGTAAGAATCTGGAATGAAAGGAAGGGTAGGAGGTTGGCCCATGAAGGGTTGGAAGGAGGATGAGGGAAGGGTTAAGGAGGTTTTGAGTGATAGGGGCTTGAGCATCCATCATAACTCAATAGAGACAAGTGTTTTTTATAACCTGGCATTTATGAAGGAACTCAGGGAAACCAGTTAATCAGACTTGAGTTATGGAGGTGAGGCACAAAGTGCCTGCACTTTGAAGGAGTAGGGATATTGCAGTTCTGAAGGTCAATCAAATTATGATGTCTGTGCACTTCTGGTAAGACAGCTGTTGAATGTATGATGATGAATGTGTAATTTAGGGGTTACCCTGCCTTGGTGAGAGAAGGCTCTTGTTAAAAATAAAAAAAAAATAAAAAAATCAAGATATGAATTGTGTAATACAAAATTATTCAAGAGGAAATTTTTTGGGTTGCACTTTCTGAAAGGTGTTAGAAAAAATCCAATAACACAAGGTCATATTGCAAGAAGATCTACTGTACTTACAAAAAAAATGTAATATAGGTAAAAGTTATTATGAGCTTTCATACTCTGTTATTTCTAAGAAAGCAACATTGGCAAAACATTAAATAAACTGAAGGTCCTTTGTTGCATGTAATGTTTCCTTGGAGTTGACAACTTCTCTAGAATAATTATGCAGCCAAATCTCTACTTCAGTACTGTAATCTTAACTGTAAGTCGAGTAAAATATAAATGAACATTAGAAAGACAATCTTATTAGTATATTATGCAGTGATCACTAACCTTTTTATAAGATATAGCATCAAACATGGCGTTAATCTGATCAGTGGTATCCACGCTCTGCACAATAGGATGAGAACTAAGACAAGAATCAATCCCCATCACTGTTTGCAGACTCCTTGATACAAACTGAGAGTCCTACAATGTACACATCATCAAATTATTATGTATCCAACACTGTGCTGATATACTCAAAATATCATAAGCATTATTTAATAGTATACAAGGAATAAATTCTAGACATTAAGAGGTGGGAAAATCACCGCACTGAAGATTTAGCAGAAAAACCAATTGACTGAAAAATTTCTTCAACCTTCATTCAAATGTGTAACAATTGTGATGCAACTCCATCATTGTGTCACAGGCACATTCTCTGACAATGACAGCTCATCTTCTTCCCCCCAGCATGGAAGAAACGGGTACATTAGGTTGCGTGTGTTAATTCAGCTCTCGTAGATATTTTAAACTTAGTTCATGAAGTTTGAAGAACATTATGATTTCTAACAACAAGAAAGGAATAATGAAAAATAACTGATACATGCAATGTCACCTTGTTACTGAAATAGGAAAGATATAAAATGCACTCAAAGAGAATTGTTGATGCCAACAGAGAGTCACTGCTGAACACTTGGTTGCTGTGTTTAACAAAAGAAAGCAAAAAAAAAAAGTTAAAATGTATTTTAATCATATGCAATTAGTGGGGAAGTGAGAGTTTAAGATATGTAATGAAGTATAAACTCACCATATCCCAACCTGGATGAATATAACCAACTCCCTTGAACTCTACGTAGCTTGCAAATCCTTCATTGAGCCACAGGTCATTCCACCACTCTAGTGTCACTGAAAATGAATACATGATATTTATTAATGCAAAGCACAAAACTAAAATGAAGTCCCTTATTACAAAAAAGTAATTTTTAAAAGAAGATTGTAAGATTTACTTCTTTTGTAATAAAGAGTTCGGGATACATAAATACACACATTAATAAATTAATCTTTAATATATAAAAATCAACTATCTTTGGTCTAGAGGTATTTGAACTATGATATAATAATAATATGTACATGTTACTATAATAAATTATAATCAGCATTTTACTAAAATAATAAATAATTAATAACCCTACACAGGGTACAACTCTTGACACTATTGTGTCACTATATATATATATATCTCTATGCTAAAATAATAAATTATAAATAACATTTGTATAATAATAAATTACAATCAACTGCTTCTCACGACACGAGACCAGTCACATGACACTATTCAGTGTACACTACAAACCAGGCCATCTTCAGTGTCCCACGACACCCTTTTCATCTCAGTGTTCCACTACGGTCCTGTGCATATCTCAGTGTTCCACTCCATCATACGTTCCTAAGTGTCACACTACGGTCCTGGCCCAGTTCAGTGTAACACTCCAACCTTTTCTTCATGTAATGTCCCACCAAACAGCATCTGATGATTCCGGCCCACAGTTGATCAGCGTAGACGGTGAGTCCACAGACATCACCGGTAGTCCAGTAAATCCTCTCCAAAGGCGGTTGACACACCGCTAGCCGAACACCATGCTGCAAGCTCACTGAATGCGGCCGTCAAGTAACTGAGGCCAACAGACTCAGTGAGCTGCGGTGAGCGGTTCTTCTAACGCCAGTAGATAGGTACGATTAGGTGGTCAGGTACCTACTGCGTACATGTGTACCCTGAGGAGTTCAGGTACTTAATGTTGCTGAAGCTAGTAGACGTGTACCCTTAGGTGTTCAGGTACCTACTGCTTACATGCGTATCCTGAGGCGCTCAGGTACATACTGTTGCTAAAGCCAGTAGACTGTACCCTTAGGTGGTCAGGTACCTACTGCTTAGATGCGCACCGTGAGGCACTCAGGAACTTACTGCTCTAAGGCCGGCTCAGCAGTCCCCACATTGGGTTTGATGACGTACCCAGTGGTACTGCCGGCCGGCAGGTTAACTATTTAACCGCTAGTTTGGCAGGGGGCCGCAACATCCCTCAACAAAATTAATTTACATATACTACAATGTCTGCAGTGATGCTTCCACTGGCACTTTACATCTCAGTGTTAACACCAAACTGTTAGGGGGTAAAGTATTCTTGTCTAGTGGTACAAATGTTACTGTGCAGCCTTAATGACCCCTAGTGTAACTGATAGGCTTTAAACTCCTTTAACCCGTAAACGGTCCAAGCAGATCTATGTTCACATGTGTAGTGCTACAAAAGTAGATCTAAGTTTTTTTACATTTTCAAATATTATTTTTTTTTTTTTTTTTTTTTTTTATCACACCGGCCGATTCCCACCAAGGCAGGGTGGCCCGAAAAAGAAAAACTTTCACCATCATTCACTCCATCACTGTCTTGCCAGAAGGGTGCTTTACACTACAGTTTTTAAACTGCAACATTAACACCCCTCCTTCAGAGTGCAGGCACTGTACTTCCCATCTCCAGGACTCAAGTCCGGCCTGCCGGTTTCCCTGAATCCCTTCATAAATGTTACTTTGCTCACACTCCAACAGCACGTCAAGTATTAAAAACCATTTGTCTCCATTCACTCCTATCAAACACGCTCACGCATGCCTGCTGGAAGTCCAAGCCCCTCGCACACAAAACCTCCTTTACCCCCTCCCTCCAACCCTTCCTAGGCCGACCCCTACCCCCGCCTTCCTTCCACTACAGACTGATACACTCTTGAAGTCATTCTGTTTCGCTCCATTCTCTCTACATGTCCGAACCACCTCAACAACCCTTCCTCAGCCCTCTGGACAACAGTTTTGGTAATCCCGCACCTCCTCCTAACTTCCAAACTACGAATTCTCTGCATTATATTCACACCACACATTGCCCTCAGACATGACATCTCCACTGCCTCCAGCCTTCTCCTCGCTGCAACATTCATCACCCACGCTTCACACCCATATAAGAGCGTTGGTAAAACTATACTCTCATACATTCCCCTCTTTGCCTCCAAGGACAAAGTTCTTTGTCTCCACAGACTCCTAAGTGCACCACTCACTCTTTTTCCCTCATCAATTCTATGATTCACCTCATCTTTCATAGACCCATCCGCTGACACGTCCACTCCCAAATATCTGAATACGTTCACCTCCTCCATTTCTCTCTCCCTCCAATCTGATATTCAATCTTTCATCACCTAATCTTTTTGTTATCCTCATAACCTTACTCTTTCCTGTATTCACCTTTAATTTTCTTCTTTTGCACACCCTACCAAATTCATCCACCAATCTCTGCAACTTCTCTTCAGAATCTCCCAAGAGCACAGTGTCATCGGCAAAGAGCAGCTGTGACAACTCCCACTTTGTGTGTGATTCTTTATCTTTTAACTCCACGCCTCTTGCCAAGACCCTCGCATTTACTTCTCTTACAACCCCATCTATAAATATATTAAACAACCACGGTGACATCACACATCCTTGTCTAAGGCCTACTTTTACTGGAAAAAATTTCCCTCTTTCCTACATACTCTAACTTGAGCCTCACAAATCCTCGAAAAAAACTCTTCACTGCTTTCAGTAACCTACCTCCTACACCATACACTTGCAACATCTGCCACTTTTGCCCCCCTATCCACCCTGTCATACGCCTTTTCCAAATCCATAAATGCGACAAAGACCTCTTTAGCCTTATTAAATACTGTTCACTTATATGTTTTCACTGTAAACACCTGGTCCACACACCCCCTACCTTTCCTAAAGCCTCCTTGTTCATCTGCTATCCTATTCTCCGTCTTACTCTTAATTCTTTCAATTATAACTCTACCATACACTTTACCCGGTACACTCAACAGACTTATCCCCCTATAATTTTTGCACTCTCTTTATCCCCTTTGCCTTTATACAAAGGAACTATGCTGCTCTCTGCCAATCCCTAGGTACCTTACCCTCTTCCATACATTTATTAAATAATTGCACCAACCACTCCAAAACTATATCCCCACCTGCTTTTAACATTTCTATCTTTATCCCATCAATCCCGGGTGCCTTACCCCCCTTTTATTTTACCTACTGCCTCACGAACTTCCCCCACACTCACAACTGGCTCTTCCTCACTCCTACAAGATGTTATTCCTCCTTGCCCTAAAACACGAAATCACAGCTTCCCTATCTTCATCAACATTTAACAATTCCTCAAAATATTCCTTCCATCTTCCCAATACCTCTACCTCCCCCATTTAATAACTCTCCTCTCCTATTTTAACTGACAAATCCATTTGTTCTCTAGGCTTTCTTAACTTGTTAATCTCACTCCAAAACTTTTTCTTATTTTCAACAAAATTTGTTTATAACATCTCACCCACTCTCTCATTTGCTCTCTTTTTACATTGCTTCACCACCCCTCAAAACCTTCTCTCTTTTTCCCCAAACCCCTTCCCCCCTTCATCATTTCTATTTTTGAAAAAAAACTTCTATAAGCTAATTTTTTTCCCCCTTACTACTCTCTTAAAAATCATCATTCCACCAATCCCCCTTCCCTCCTGCACCCACTTTCCCTGAACCCCAAAAAATTTCCCTGTTTTAACCCACTCAACACTACATTTTTAAACCTCCCCCATACCCTTGGGCCCCTTTTTTCCTATGCTCTCTTTTAAGCCCATCTATCCTCCAATACTGTTTATTCTTCCCCTAACTCCCTCCTCTTTTATTTTAAAAAACCCTTAAACCTCTCTCTTCCCTGATGCTTTTTATTCTCCTTGTATCCCATCAACCTTTTTACTCTCATGTAGCAACAACTAGAAAGTGATCTGATATATCTTTTGGCCCCTCTATAAACATGACCCCTGAAAATCTACTCAACAGCTTTTACTACCAAACATAATCCCCAAAAAACTACTGTCATTTTGCCCAAAATTTATATCGGTTTAAATTATTTACCCCTTTTTTTCCCCTTAAAAATGTTAATTTCCTATAACTAAAAACCCCCTTTTTTAAAACAAAGTTTCAATCAAAGGGTCCCCTTATCATTTAAAACCCCGGCACCCCCCAAAATACCTAACCCCAAACCCCCTCTAAAAATTTCTCCACTTTAGCAATTTAAGTCCCCTAAACCCCCAATTTCTCTCTCACTTTGGGTTTAAAGGCTTTCCTAAAAATTCCCCTTTCCCCTCCCCAAAATCTCTCCTCCTCCTCTGCATTCCTCCTTTTCCAGTTCATACACCTTATTATGACCCCCCTTCCCGCAACCCAAACCTTTTTCTTAATCCAAAATAATTCTTGAATTTTCACATTCCTATTTCTTTTCCCCCTTCCCTAAAATGATCAAATTTAAAATTTTTTGCACCCCTTCCTTTGCTCTAACTCCCCTCAATCCCCCCGAAATTTTAAACCCATTTATTTCCCCCCCTGAAACCCCTACCCCCTTCAGCCCTTTTTTTCGCTTTGGGCCTGGAAACCAACTTCTTTTTATTCATAACCCCAGCAAACATCTGTTTTTAAATATAACCCAAAAAAAAAAAAGTAATTTTAAAATTTTTTTACCATTTTTTTAAATGGGGAAAAAAACAAAAAAAACTACTTTATTAAAATTCAAATTTCAAAAAAATTAAAATATATTCTTTGGGCCTTTTAAAAGGGTTTTCCCATAACAGGAAAAATGGGGATGACTGGAAACTTTTTAAAAAATTAAATTTTGGGGGTTTGGGGGAGCAATGTTTCGGTTAAAAATATCAGGGGAATTCAGTGTGGAGATCAGAAAGATAGTACTGGGTTACCAAAAATTTAAAATTTGAGAGCTGAAGGGGAAATTGAGGCAAGTTGGGCACTGGGGAGGAATGAAAATGAATAGGAAAAAAATTAAAGGGGTAAAATA